GATCATATCATTAACCACCTTGGAAAATGAACCTACTTCCTCTCCAATAACTCTTCTATTATTGATACAATGTTGAAATTTTTCATTAAAACATTGTATCAAGATGTTGGAGATACCATCATCCCTTAAACTAGAAACCTTTGGTGACATTTCCTGTTGAAGTCTGAGGAAGACCAGTTAATGCTCTTGGAAGGATTCCCTCTGCACAGTCCAACCTGTACCTGTGTTACTTCCTCTGTGGGCAACTCTGGGCAACTCGGAGAAACTTGTGCAGGAAGAAAGCCCTGAGTGAGAATGAGGCCCTGAGCAGCTGCAGCTGTAGTTGTTAATTATTTGCTCTGTGTTATAACTGAGTTTCAGAAAGGACCATTTGTGTGAACTAAACAGGCCTTTGAGGAATGGGATCTTACAGATTAAGCTCTGCCATATTTTTCTGTAGCGGAAGTCATTGTACTGGCCCAACCCACATACATTAAATATCTAATTTTAAAAGCTTATTTTTGTTTTGGTCATTGGCATTTGTAGTAACTGCCTTACAGGGAGGAAAATCCAAAGAACCTATGGTGGTTCTTTATAAAATAAAGCCTATACATTTGCAAAAGGAAGGGGAAGAGTTTTAAAATACAGACCAAACATTTTAAAATGCAGACCAAAGATTCCAGTACAATGACACTAGTTTTTTTTAACAGGCCCATTTCTTCTTCCCAGTATTGTCCTTTCACATATGTACAATTTTTGGTGCTGTGAGTTCAGTGGGTCCTGTCTTCTCTTCCTACCACAGTATTTTAAAGTGGGGTTATGGAAGTAATATAAAGCAAAGTCTCCTGTTTGGTTGGTTGAAACACCTATTTCACAGTTAACTAATTGTGCAGATCTTTTAAACTGATGTCAAAATCCAGGGTTATACACATGCACAATGAACACTAGGGGGCATCATTCATTGCTGCAGGCTTCTAGACTTCACCTCCAAGCATGGTGGGTCCAGCCTCTCCTTATGCAGCTAGGAAATTATAGTAAACTAAACACATAGGCGGTGTAAAGAACAATGAAATAAAAAACAAATATTCTTTAGGTGACACAGCTATATGCATTTGTTAAAATTTGGAGAATTTTTCACTAAAAGATTTTGCTGTATGTAAATTATACATTAATGAAATAAAATGGTTAATACTACCTAAATAAAATATAGAAAAGTGCTTAATGAAAATAATTATCCTTATTAACCCTTACAAAAGTTAGAAGTAAAACACATCAGCCAGACATTTAGAGAATAGAGGAAGCCCATCAAACTAAAATGATCACTAGGCAAATTCACTGCAAAATCAGCAAAATTATTGTTTGTAATTCAAACAGGAGAAGTTATTTATGGCATATCTAGATAAAGGATCAGAAAGGTGGACTTTTTTCATATGAATTAACCAATTGTTTGGGTATTCTGTTCATCTCAGCCTTACCAGGGTTGTCAGTTCTAACGAGTTCTGGTTAGGATGGCAATACTCTGGGTATGGATGGCCTGTTTAAAGAGAACTGGGAATGTGACTAAAGTTTTTATGCCACGAATTGCTAGTGCACATGGAACCTCTGCACCATAATTGAGGCATGAGAATATTTGACTAGAGTGTGCATGTCTGTAACTACATTGATTGTGCCAAGTCAGTGTGGTCCATACACCCACTTGTAGCCATTCTGATCTGACTTTACAGTGAGCTGAAAACACACATGTTAAAGTGGGATTTGCAAATGGAAGTTTCAAGCACAAGTGTACTAATAATTGCTTCTGCTTTTGTGTCATGCTATGTTCCCTATCTCCCAAGAGTGCAGAAATGGAGGACCTGGGATTTAGAGTCACAAGTATAGCTCTGAAAAGTGTATGAAAGGTTTAATCCCTGACTAATAATTGCATTGTCATAAAAATCAAGATAAGGTTGAAACAGTCATACTGGAACTTAACCACAAAGCAAGTTGTGGAGATAACTTACTGATATGCAGAAACTTCCGGGACACCGCTACCATTGTTATTGTTATGAGTTGAAATTTGCTGAGCCAACTAAGTTTTGGAATTTTCCACACAAGGGGTCATCACACCATCTTCCCTTCAACATTTTCCTTAATTGCTCATGGTGCTAGGTCCAAATTAGCTAAGGATTTTTTGGTGAATACTTAAGTGTGCTGTGCAAAAAAGTAACTTTCTTTTCTAAGCTCAGGAACTTAACTCCTAGTCATCTCAAGCATTAAGAAAGAGAAATAAAAATCAGGACTCACAGACTGAAGTCAGGGTACTTCAGACTTCATCATTAATTGTAGCTCTCAGGGATTATCAAAAAAGATAAGTACTCTGATTTCAGTCACTTGAAACAAACTCAAAGTCAGATGCAGAAAGCAGACAGGTGGTTACCAGAGAGGCAGGGGGCTGGGCAATTGGTGAGACAGGTAAAGGGTGTCAGGTTGTGGGTGATGCTGATATAGTATGGAGAATTACGTGTTTATAATATCTGAAACATACACTGTTGTCAAAAAATGTTCTCTCCATAAAAATTCATTTAAGATAAAATTTTTAAATGAAAACTATTATAAAGGACTAGAATTGCCTAGAATTGTATATCTTGTATTACAAAAATTGATTTAATAAAAAAATTTAACTGAAAAATGTAAAATATTTACCATACATACAGTATCATATATTTTAAAGTATGTGCAGTGTTTATATTATACATTAAGACATTTTGCTTTTCAACAAGGTTTGGTTTTAGGACTTTTTTTTTTTTTAAGATTTTGCATACAGAACCGGGGTACAGGCCAGAGGTACAGGACCAGAGACAGAGTGGGGTGCAGAATAGATAGATTGACAAAGTGCACTGCTGAGGGGAGCAGCGGGCAGGTCAGGAGAGGTCTGCCGCGCCATGTGGGTCACCCCTGGGGTGGGCTCTAACTGCTGCTTCTAGCGTCACAGTGCTGTGCTTTGACCCATTGCGCCACCAGGGAGGGCCCGGTTTTAGGACTTTTAAGGCACTGTCAACGTTAAAATGGTCCTGTGATTTGGAAAAGTACACATTTTCATAGAACCCAATTATCATTAGACTGTGTTTAAGAAAAAACAGAGTTGTCTAACATTAGGGGAGTTAAATCTTAGTAAACAGCTTTTGAAATGCCCAGCTTTAGCAGGTACCATCTGAATAAGCATGTTCACATCAAGATTGCAGTTACTTGGAAAACCATAAAGATTATTAACAACTCAGAGGCTAATATGTAGAAAAGACAATGCTGAGTATAGTAAAATATGATGAAAACAAGTACACTTGTCCAACTCACAGGTGGCATCAAAGTCAGTTACCCTTTAGATGGAATGAATTCAGTTAAACTGCTCTCAAGTTCTAGGCTTTGTTTCTTTTTGCTGGAGGCACGGTCTTTTAGGCATGTCATTGTGAAATCTGCCCAACACCAATCAGCAGAAGAGAACTTCTGGTAGTGGAAATGGGCATAATATACCATGTTTCTCTTAAGAGATTTGAATAAGTAAAATAAACATGAGCCAATATAACATTTATTCTGTATTCATAGTACATATATTAATTCAAATTGAAATCCTTTCTACAGAGTATTATTTCTTTAATATTTGCATCTGATCCACAGTAATATACTACTAGTTTAATGAGAAATATCAAATGGAACTTTTACTTTCATAATAGCCCATCCACTTAACATTTTTACAAAGAACTACTGTAAATACGTAACATTATACAAGCTTTTTTCTGCACCTGTTCACAAATCAGAATATACTGTTTATTTATAAACTGATTGCTTTCAACCCTGTATTTAGATGATCATCTCTTCTCTTTAGACAAAATTCAATCACTCTCTTTATTTTCATGCTCTCTCTGGCACTCATGATGCCACATTACCTGTGGTTCTTTGCCTTAAACCTGTCCCAGTTTTCTGTTGCTGCTGCTCCCACAGTTGAGCTCTTAAAGGACAGGAAGCCTGTCCCCTTAACTCTGTTGTACAGAATCAAATTGAATTTAATCAGAACATCTAAATTTTGTGTAGCTTCTTTCAGTTAGATTTTTTTCAACTCAGGAGCATTACAAAAAATTCTTCTCAGAATTATACCATAAAATGTACTGAAGTTTTGAATTCTATTTTAAAAACTTAATATTACACAATAAAACATCATAGGAATCGAACTTAAAGAACACTAAAGCTTATCTGAGGATTTTTTAAAATGCAGAAATGGCAGGAAGAAAAGCCCCTGATACATTACATATCAGATGAGATTAAAAAGTGGATTTTTACATATTTGAATAAAGTTGCAATTTAAAAGGATCATTTCAAACAATGGGATTCCAAAGTATTTTTAAAATTCTGCTGTAAATCCCTAAAAAATGAATTATTAACTATAAAAATAAGGCAATTTGAAGTAAGAAATTTTTTTAAATTAACTCTGGTTTGCAGCAGAAGCCAGATTTACTGGTGCTGTCATGATCTGTATCTGTAAAAGCCTTTGCAGGAAGGCTATTCACATGTATCAGTGAAATGACAATCTCTCAGAACTAAATCAGTTTTTCTGACTCCACTAAGTAGTAGACCAATTAAGATCATCACAAACTTGTGCTGTCAAGTGGAATACCTTAAAAGAAAATTATGCAGATAGCTTTTCTGAAGAACTCCATTTGTGCCACATGCTTATTATTCTTCCAGGTGGAGGAGGTGGCAAGGAACATAATTTCTGTTTGAAAGTTCTTTTGTTTTCTGCTACCTTTACTTAAATGTTACCAGGTACTATTTTTAGTACCATATAAAGTACCTTGAGAAAATGTTACATGACTAGTGCTACAAAGAGGAGGATTTTAATATTCACTGTATTGTAAAGCAAAGTGAACAATACTTGACTGAAAAGAGGGGAAGATAATATACTAAAAAAAAAAAAAAAACAAGTATACCCAATTAGGTTTGGATAATTCTGAGTTCAAAAAGAAACTGAATCTCAATTAATAAATGGTCATTAAAAACAGTACGTTTAACACAGCAAATTTAAATGCAAATTAAAGTGTTGTTAAAATGCCCTTTAAGTGACTCTTTTTATAGTCAGATGGATGTCAAAATTGAATAGGAATCTATTATATTCACTTAATATCTTGCATATAAGGTCAAATTGCTTAAAATAAATACTATCATAATACAATTTATGAGAGACTTCTAAGTCATCTGACTCATTATTTCTGTAAAAACAAACAGTTTGGGTCAGAAGTTCACTTTAGTGGGATTTGGCCATGTAGCAGATACAATCGGATTGATATCAATTAATTTCTGAATTTCTTTTTTACTTTGGACTCCTTATTAACTCACCAGATAGTTTTAATAAAAAAGATTGAGAAGCCACTGAAGAATGGATGTAATCACAGAACACATTTTATCATAAAACAATCAGCCATAAAACACTCTGACCAAAAATATTATCTAAAACCAGTGAAGAAAAAGGTACAAATCTATGTCTAGTTAGATAAAAAGTTACTTTCCTAACAACTGTAGACAATTTATCACATATCTGTTTTTGAAACTTCCAAATATGCCTAAAGCTTTCAAAATATTTTCAGTAACTGTTAAGTGATATATTATTGCTAACTCACGAGGGATTACTAAAACCTACAATGCAAGTATATTAGCTTGAGACATCTTTGCAGTAAGTGAAGAAATTATTCTTCAAAACACTGTAAAATGCACCAACCTTAATCAGGTTTTAAAAATTGTCCACCTTTTAATATATTTGCTGGTAGCTGCCCAAGTCCGTTAGCACCACATATAGTGAATTTAAAAAAGTGTTTTTAAGGAGAATTGCTTAGCAGTATTTTTTTAAAAATTTGTAAAAACTATGTAATTAAAAGAAATTAATTTATTGGGTTATGTTTTGAAAGGTCCACTTTTCATCATGCTAAATACATTTTATGCTCTTCCCCCAAGTTAAGCACAAATATAGGATAATATGTGGGAAATACTTCTGCATTTCATTAAAGAATCCTGTTAATATCCATTACTCAGTTCAGATTAAGTTCTGTCAGAGGTTTCAAGATTTCTTTAAAGAAAGAACATTCTATAAGGCAAATTAAGCATATACTTTCTGTTAGTCCATTAAAAATGCAAGAACTCACCAGACCATTTAAATCATATGAAGTACATTATTTTCTCCAAGAATGTCCAAATACTCTTAAGCAAATAACGAGCAACTCGAGTGTAAGCTCTTCATTCTTTATCCACTTTCAGAGTAACACTGCCACTCAATTTAGACAATGGGCACTATACAATATGAGCCCTAACCTGAATGGTAAGGAAGTGTTATAAATGTTACAACCCCTTCACAGAAGATTTCACATTTGAAAACAATGTCAACCACTGATGAGAGCATTAATTTAAATAGCTAAATAAGTGAAAATAAGCCCTTGTTATATTCTTTTTTGTAAGGGAATGACTGAATTGAAAATACTGGTGTAAAAGTTAATTTTCAATACCCATTTTTTTAAATGGTGTTTTCCAGTACATAGGCACAGTGAAAGAATATTGACTTGAAATATAATGGACTTTAGCAATATCTTTTCATTTTCCTATTCAATCATGTACATGGCTTATTATTGGTCGATAATGAGTATTTTTACTAAATTATAATTCTCTGGAACTTTTACTGCTAAACTGGCTTTTAATCACTTCTCTGCTCAATGAAGAGCTGATGAAGTAACCCTATGATAAATGTAAGATGAGTCCTGTGTTATCTGTGATAGCTTATTACTTGGGAAGTTTACCTTCTCTTGGATGAGAAATAATATTCCACTCTTTCTGTTTTTGCTGTTGCTCTTTGCTTTTTGTTTTCAGCAGATGATCATGCAGAAATGGGTTTATAGTGGTCTGTTTAGGGCAGAAGAAACATAAAAGAGAAAATACACTCCCTTTTTCACATCTTTGCACTTGGTAATTATGTGCTTGTTTGAGGGAATTTCGTGAATGGCTTAGGAAGGAACTTGAGCAGGACAAGGGGAAAAAAACATTCATGTGTAGCTCAGATATGTATACTCTGCTGAAATTGGGCAAATAACATCTTTTTTGAGGTAAGACTGCTGCCTTGGGATGTAAAAACTAAACCACACATTCACAAAAATAGCTCACCTTATTCACTATTTTAAACAATGGAAAAGTATACCGTAAAAAAAAAAAAGTTTTAAACACTGAATACAACATTAACAATTACATACGTTGAACCATCAAAAGGAAGCCAGGCTTTGTGACATCAGAGGACATTATGGCATATTGTAAGTGCTCAATAAATACATCTTCATTCTGCAATCTTCACATGCCATTTTGGCAACTCTCTGAATGTCACTTTGTATTGCAATCCATGCTGCTTTCCTTCAGCCCAGAAGTAACTACATTTCAGTGGTAAGGAGGCTTTATGATCTTGGTATTCTTCGGCACTTCTAAGCTAGAATAGTACCTTTAAATTCAACTGATAAATCTCTCACTTGTCACTGAATAAGAAATGCCACAAATATGTAAAATAATTTATCATTAAGCTTATTTTTTCTCCCATGATCTAGAAATTAAGTCACTGTAGAAGATTGTTTATTTTATTGTCATCAGAGACCATTTCATTAACCAGCTGTTCTATAGACAACTGGATAGCATTTTTGACAAGAGAAGAAGCTGTTTCAATTAAGAGTGTTTCATATTGTTCTGAAGTTCTACCTTCAAAACCACTATCATTAGCAAAAACCCCTACTTGCTCATTTTCAATTGAAATTAAGAACTGCTTAGGGACATTTTTAGATTTCTTAACATCAAATTCACTTATTTCAGTGTCTGTAATAATAATAGCAATTGGTTCCATTCTTTTGCTTTCTTCTAGATTGGGTTTTTCTGCATTGATTTCATTTTCCTTAAAATCTGTCTCCTGGCTCAATTCAGTATCTTTTGGCTTACTTTCTTCACCTACTATCTCTCTACTTTCATGGTCTTCACAATTCAGTCCACTTTCTGGGAGACTGCTTCTTTCTTCTTTCTCAATTGGTTGATCTGGGACTTCAGGAGAGGGAAGAACATCAGAAGCCACTGGAGGCTGATGTTCTGCTTCTGAGATTTCAGGTGGGCTTGCTTGCTGGGGTTGAACACTTTGTGTTTCCTCAATTGTTTTAATCTCTTCTTCAAGGACTACAGTTTCTGTCTGAATAGCTGAAGGAACTGTGTCTATTCCAAGTTCTACTGAAATCACATTCTCTCCAGTTACGCTGTTGCTCACATTTGATTCACAGACCTCATCATCAACTTTCTGGGAGACAGAAACTTCATTTACAGGCTGGGTTAAGTTGGTATTTGTTGCCTGGTCAGCTAATTGGGTTGGAGGTTTTGTATCCAAACTCTCAGCCTCTCCCTGGACTTTGATGCTGTAGTCTGAGTCTTCTATAATTTTGGAATGGTCACTTCTTTTCTCCCCTTTTGAAAATTTTATGCAGGGAATCTTAAGTCTGGATTTTGCCTTTTTCTTAGAAAGATCTGTATCCTCAGCATTGATTTCAGGTTGTACGTTAGCCTCTAACGACTGTTGCTGCTTTGAATCGGACCTTTTCTTGCGAGTTACAAGACGTTTGATTGAGGCCCAGGCTCCCCCTGGGGGCTGTAGCTGATCAGAGGCTCCAGCTTCTGGGGTATGTTTCCTTGCTGCATCAGCAGCTTTAGAGTCCGCTTTGGGCTTCACTGCTTTGGCTGCTTTCTTCCTTCTCTTGAAGCAAAGCATTGATGCTTTTTTCTCTTGCTTTTTATCCTGAGGACTAACTTCTGTTACTTTCTTCTCATCTTTACTTTCTACTTGAATTTCAGAAGCTGTGGTCTCCATTTTTACCGTACTCTCTTTCATTCTCTATAAAACTATATTCTCTCTTCTTCGGCAGCCTTTTATGAGAAAATGGTGGACAAAAATATTATACTAAGTAAAATTTCTTCCAGATGTATCCATGCCTTTTGTCTTATTCCATACAGTTGTTTTAGGTGGTTTCTCCAGTGACACAAATGTTTAGTTTCTCTAGTACTTGTAATTTCTTTCTTTAATTTCTTCACAAAAGCCCTTTGCTGAATAGATTTTTTTGTTTTATTTAAAGATCAACCTGATGAGAGAAAAGAGTGGTACTTTATTTCACCATCAGCTTGTTGTTTTCTATAGACAATTCAGTTATGTAGGATTCTACCCGGCATATTTCCCATATAATAGTTTGGTGGAAATTTGAGGTTTATACTTAACTATAAAAAACGATGAAATTCTGCGTTTGCAACAACATGGATGGAGCTTCAGAGGATTTGCTGAGTAAAATAAGTCGGACGTAGAAAAGTTAAGTACCATATGATTTTACTCATATATTGACTATAAAGACACAAAGCAAATGAGCAAATTAACCCAAACAAAAACAAACCCCTAGATGCTGACAACAGAATGGAGGTTACCAGAATGGGAAAGGGGTGATAGGGTAGGAGGACTAAGGAGAGAGGGGGTCAATTAGATGGTAACTAGATATTTGGTGGTATTTTGGTGTTGCCTATATACTTGACAGTATGAAGGTGTACTCCTGAAATTTATGCAGTGTTGTAATCCAATGTTATCTTAATTTTAAAAGATAAAATAAAATTAAAATATATACAAAATTCCAAAAAAAAATTGGGGTTTACTTTTGCCATAACCAAAATGTCAGTTTTAGTTTATTTTTGCTCTACCCCCTTTGTTAAAACTTCATTCTAGATTACTCTGAAATCTGGTATTTTATCAGTTCTTTAATTTTGCTGTCAATGTGAGTTGCTTGTGACTCTGAATTGCAACTTAACAAATAAGCAATAACAAATAATAATGAAGGCAAGGTGATGAACAAGCTAGTGTAATTTTGCTACATAAAATAAAGAATGCTCAAGCCCCAAAGGATCTCAGCTATTACTTGAGATACAAGTCCAGTGAGGTGAGGAAGCTGTGCTTCAGAGGGGGCAGTTGGCCTGTGGAAAAGTCAAACTGCTAAAGAAGGTCACAGCCAGAGTTAGAACTCCAGGCTTTGACTCTCCAGTGTCCTTCCCATTATACCAGAAGGCTCCTATTCTAAAAATGTATGTTCTGTCTAGGAGGTGCTACTTTTCATATATACTCTTGGGAAATTTAACATGACTGTCATTTTCCACTCTTAAATTTAGTCATAAAATTTTAACATTTTTCTAAGTATATGCTGTTCAAATTTTTCCACCATAATAAGCACATAGTTGAAGGTCAGTAAGAGTGAATGATAAGAGCTGACATTTAATGAGCAACTCCTATGTATTGGGAAAAAACTGCTAAGCACTTTTTCATTCATCTCTAATACTCCCCATACATTACAAAGTGAGTAGGCGGTGTGTTATCTATGGATAAAGAAACTCAGGTTTACAGAGGTTAAGCAATTTGCCAGAGTTTACAGAGCTCATAAATAACAGAATTCAGATTCTGCCCAAGACTGCATATATCTAAAGCATGTATTCTGAAACCCAGCTTTCAAAGTTTCATCAGAAAAATGGTTTGGAGATGTCAAAAAATTTAATCTTTTTAATGATCATCATTAATCATACATCATGCTGCCCATTAATTGAGCCAGACTAGACTGAGTTCTTGCTATCTTAGAATCAAACCTAGAAATTCTTCATGTTTTATTTTATTTTGATTCTGGTTCTAATTTGAAGGTCAAATATAAATTGACAAGCTATACAATTGGCTAACTAATTTTTCATATATGACATACGTATAAAGGCATATTTTAAAATTAATCCACAGAATAGAACGATGGTGTCAATGAACAGAAATGTGAAGTGATCCTCAAGCAAAAACCCTAAGAATTTTAGTTGATGGATGGCTTCAAATATATCAAAGCTCCCTTTCCTTGTCCTGTTTTTATGTACATCTACTGTTGAAGGTTTATTTTGGTAACCCTTCTATAGACTAAGAACTAAACTCTGAAAAATAAGTTCCTGGTGTAAGTATATACTCCCCTAGACTGCGTGTTGTAAACTCCAGGAGTGTGACAAAAAAAAACAAAGTCATTGGAGAACAATGATGGAGTTAAAATGGAACATCTTACAATGTCCCTCCCTCATATAATGTGTCTGTAAGCACCGGAACCACTGCTGAATGCAGCTTCTGCTGTCTTCTTACCACTTGTGAGAGTTCTCAGTACTTGACGTTTCTATTAACCACGGACTTGGAAATACTTAAGTTAGATAGTGTTGTAGGAATGTACTGGATTGCCCAAAAGCAAATGCATGAGCAGCTTATTCTAATATGTATCTCACTGTAGAGATAAGACAAATACCCAACAAAAAACCTGACTGAAATAGGAAAAATGTAGTCAGGAGACATTCAAAACTTTGCAGAACCTTAGACTGCAAATAAATGATTCATTCTTTATGAGCACGGGGAGTTTTATCTTCTCAGGAATGTTAGAGTCCCTGCTGTCGTTTACTGATAGAATCTCAGGTCTAAAGCCCCTAAATATCTCTCTTCCCACATTCCCTTGAGTAGAGAAGCACCAAAGCAAAGAGCAGCCACTTCTAGAGAAGAAAGCAACCTCTCCTTGCACCAGATGCGGACCACGGAGACCCCTTCCGGAAGGGGTCTTTCATTCTGGCTTATTGCGCTTTATTGCAGGAGCTAGAGCAAGGATAAAGTACTCACGGGGGCGTGAATAGATAACCCAGCTTCAAGCTAGCTGCAAAATCATAACGGCCAGGAATACAAAATTACCCCCCCCCCCACATACACACACACAAATGGTCAAGAGGGGAAAAAAGCCACCGACAACCCAGGCTTCTAGGATGAGCTGTAACGAGAAGAGGGTAGGTGGGCAGAGCTGAAGAGGGTCGCGCTGGCAGGTGATTCCTACGGACAAACGACCTTCCGGGTTCTTACTCCAGGCTATCTCTTGTGTGGCCTGGAATCCTGCTGTCAACTCCAGCCCACTCTGCCACCTAGACAGCGGACCGGACACGGGCCGGTAACCTCTTTCCAAGCAAGCACTGCCATCCTGCACTTACCGAGGGAGCTGGGGTCCATGGCCGACCCTGCTGCAGAGGTCAAGGGGAGCGATCGTGGGCCGGGCTCACAGGCAGTCTGGAAGCCACAAGGCAAGCCGCCCTCTGCAGAGGCACCCACCGCAGCCCTTCTGCGCCCCCTCCCCAAGAGTGCGGGGACTGACAGCCCACAGCACCAATGCGCACGCTGCGGGCTGGCGCTGGGCGGGGCTAGGGCGGGGTGGAAGTGGGGTGGCTGGCGGGCGGGGTGGGCCCCGGGAGGGCCACCTGCAGCAGTCTGCCCGCCGCGTGGGAGCCGAGCATACGGCGCCCACTGAACCCCAGGAGCAAGTCCCCGCGGAGCTACCGCATCCGGGCAAAGGCGGGGGACAACCGAAAGAGAGCCGGAAGGTGGGGAGGAGGCCAGGGCAGTGAGCTCTGCATTTTCAGGACGCGAAGTAGCAAAATCCAATTTTAAATTAAGGGCATTCCTATTTTACACCCACCCCATCTTACCCCAAATATTTAAAGACATTGCAGATACCACAATTTTAAAGTAGGATTAAAAAAATAGATATTGCACTTGCTTGAGAGACAATTACATATATAAATTGAAACAGCAAAAGGCAAAACTTGCTCAGGAGTGGGTTTCTGTGTAATGAGGTCCTAATGGTCCATTAACAAATAGACTCAGGGACCAGAGACACTGAACCATGTCTCCCTAGCCTAGCGGACAGGTAAAGCTGATGTGAAGTGGCCCTTAGAGCTCTAGTCTGCAGAAGCAATCACATCCTTGTGGATGAGGTCAGGTCACAGGAACCAAAACCTCACCCACCTTTAATATATGATACAGTCCCCCAAATTGAGATAGACTATCACGTTTCCCTTCAGGCTATTCCTGAATGCCTTCTTAACCTGCTCCCTCTCAGTTAAAGAGCCTTCAAAACCAAGCCTCCCAAGTTGCAGCATCATCTACCTTCCTGCTTGATTGGCTAGATTGTGTATTTTCACAATTTCCCAAATGTTTATCTAAACATGCTGATAGCCACACAGAAAAGCACCACAAGCATTTACTTGTGCATATCTGTATACCCAATTAAAGTATTAGCAGTTGAGATTTTAGGGTGACTTGTTTTGGGTTTAGTATCTCCTATAAGGGCTTTCCTAGGAGATCCAACTATGAGATCCTGCAAGATACACAATTTCTATCTCCTCTCTAGCTGCTCCCAGACACATCATCCAAAAAAAGATCCTATTAAGGTGAAAGAAAGGAACGACTACTAGAAAGCAGTTTTACTTATCTCCTTTCTACCACAGGATCATTATCTTTGCCAACAGAGTTCTGCCTCCCCATGTGGGTCACCTCCCTAGCTGGCTGCTATTGCCTCACAATGCTGTTTTTAAACCCTTGTGCCACCAGGGAGGGCCCAGGATCATTATCTTTTGAAGAGTAAACCTAATGTCCATTTTTAGATGGTTTTCCAGGAATGTTTCACCTTTGTATGATTCGGTAGCTTCCACCAAATTTACTAAGGAAAGAACTGTTAGAATATAACAAAGCTGAACCTAAATTGTGAGACCTAATATTTACAGATAGTTATGCAGGGCATGTAAAACAGGAAAACCCACAAGTATCTATTTTAGTTGAAATGAAGAATTCTTGTTTTGTTCATTTAGTCAACACCAGCCTTTGCAAAGATCCTTTATGTCCCCACACAAGTTGCTAACCTTGCTTACTGACTTTCTGAATTTCAAAGAAGTCAAAAGAAATCCATGTCACTCAACCCAGATGCTGCTATATTAGTATTGACATCCATGGTTTCTCAAGTCTAGCAAATCTGGGAGTTTGCAGCAAATCCATGCAAAAATTAAATAACTTATCTAGATAAAGACAAGATAGAAGAGCTCCTACTAGGATGCAGTTGGAAAGGAACACATTAAAAAAAAATAAAGGCCACCTTAATTAGATCTTATAGATCTTATTCTACTTGATTTTCTAAAATTAAAAAAAAGAAAAACTCACCTGAAGGTTAAGTTTAAGGTAAAAGTGATTTTGTATTGAAAGGCAGATTTAAGG